ATGATAGTGGGGTGTGGGAGGCGTCGGCATTAAAGAACTAGAGGACGGTTGTATGTTCTGTTGGTGCTATACTGCACCCTGACTGGCTTCTCTCATCCTTGTGGCCCTTCTGACAGGGGATGTCCAATTGACTACTGATGGGGCTTTGGGTCTCCACACTGTCCTTCCCTGGTCCCCTACTTATTCTTGAAGACTGGTTTTTTACATTTGAATATAAGGAAATTAATTGTTAGCCAGTGATTATACATTTGTTGTGTTCATGTATTGATAGCCCAGAGAATGAAATTCACTGTTGCCAAGTTGCTTCTGACATACAGTGACCCTGTGGGACAGAACAGAGATGCCTTTGGTTTCCAAGGCTGGACTTTGTATGCAAGCAGATGTTACATCTGCCTCCCACCTAGTGGCCGGTGAGTCCAAACTGGTGACCTTACCACTGTGCCACAAGGACTCCTCGTGTATTATAAACCTCCAAAAACCCTAAACTCACTGGCACCAAATTGATTCTGACTCATATCGATCCTGTAGGACAAGGTAAAATTGCGCCCGTGAGTTTCGGAGACTAACACTCCATGGGCGTAGAAAGCCCCATCTTGGCTGGTAGTTTTGAACTGTGGACCCTGCAGCACAGTCCACTTATAAACCACTGCTCTACCAAGGCTCCTCATGTATTAGACTCCTCTTAAAGTGACATGAGACCAAACAATAGCTTAACTACTTAAACATCTTTTCCTTAAGCATCATGCTTTTCTAAGGAATATCGATATGGGATCAAATTGAGAACAACAATTCAAAAAGTTAGATAGGAAGTTTAGGGGGACGTTGAGTTTGTGTTAATGGGGCGGGGCTGGGGGTGCGGCAAATCAGAAAAGGAGGGTGAGAACGGCTGCACAACTCAGAGTCTGATCAGCGTCCATATAGAGACTGCGTTCAACAACAGCAACACAAATGCCACCGAGTGAGCAGGGCTAGCCTCGTACTGGCTAACAGGCGTGCGCTGCTCCCCGCCACACAGCAATGGTGAGACAGAGCCTCATCGACTCGTCCGCCCCAGGTCTGTAGATATGTAGTGTGTAGGTAGATACCAGTACGTACATAAGTCTACATCTTTCTGAACACTATCAATGTATATTGGTGACTATGATCTGTTGATTAGATGTTGAACTTTGTGATTTTCAAAAAAATAATCAAAGATAATCATAACATCAGGCTTACAATGCCTTGCCTTTGAAACTTGATTTAAGTTTGACTAAACAAATACCTAAATGTTTAACTACTTTGGGTTTAAATAGTGGATCAAATTCACAAAACAAATTAGAGAATTGTATGCTAAATTTTTTCTCTTTTTTTAATGTGTAAGAAAGCTTTACATCAAGAGATAATTATGTTCATATCAATAAACCATCCCAGCCCAGTCCAACTCAAGACCATAAATCCGATAGCAGTTCGTAAGTCCTTCTTCAGACTCACACAGCCAATGCAGGAATATCACAGGCCAGTGGGTGCAAAGTGTAGCTCCAATGGCGGTGGAAGCATCACAGATCTCCTAGGTCCCAGAGTGGTTCACTGGCATGAAGGTGAAGGGGGGAGGGGGTTCCCAGGCTCCTCATTATGAGAAGGCCACCCCCATGAGGAAGCACCATAAGGCTGTGACCAGATTTAACAGTTGAATACCACCCCTACACTATTCTATATCCTCAAGTTGACTTGAAATTATGTAACTCTCACAGGCTTCCTCCTCTTTGCTGACCCTCTACCAAGCACGCTGTTCTTCAGGGACTGGTGGTCTCTTCTGATAACATGTGCAAAGTGCATGCGCTGAAGTACCACGCTCACCATTAAGGAGCATTCCATTTGTACTTCTTCTCACACAGCATTCGTTGTTTGTACAGAGGCTAACATTTTTCATCATCTGTCACAGCTGGTGTGAAAAGTTGTTTTCTTATTTTTATGGAGGAAACCACAATCCACATATTCATTCTACTTCTCCTATGTGTTGGACTTTGTTTTGAATTGGGGCTAATCCTACCTAAAATTACAAGTATAGAAGTAGCAAATGGTACAAGAGCTTTAAAAATGCTTTGCTTTCTTCTGTCATCTTAGGGGAAATCAAGTTCTTCAAGTGTTGAGGTATTTGAATTGTTGACCCTAAAGCATTTTCAGAAATGGCATGGAGCTTTGTCCCTACTCGTTGTCATGGAGTCAATCCAATTCAGTGACCCTATAAGACAGAGTAGACTGCCCCTGTGGGTTTCCCAGACTGTGAATCTACGGGAGTTGAAAGCCTTGTCTCACGCCTGAGGGCTGGGTGGTGGCTTCAAACTGCTGGCCTTGCAGTTGGCTTAACCACTGCACTACCCGGACTCTTCTAGAGTCTTACGAGTATTTGCTTTTTGTACCTCCATTCCTGTATTCAGAGCCCTGGCGGCGTAGTGGTTACACATTGGGGTGCTAACTGCAAGGTCAGCAGCTCAAAACCATCAACCATGCCTCAGGAGAAAGACAGAGCTTTCTCCTCCCATAAAGAGTTCGTCTCCGAACTCACAGGGGCATCTCTACCCTGTCCTGTAGGGTCGCTGTGAGCCTGCATCGAGGTGATGGCAGCGAGTTTGGTTTGGGTCTTTCCTTTGTTTGGAGTCGTGGCGAGGTAAATGTGTGTTTTCCTCGCCCGTCTTTTCCAGGGGTGAGCGGTCTGTATGATTTTGGGCCAGTTGGATGTGCTTTGAAGAACAACATCATTCAGACGTGGAGGCAGCACTTCATCCACGAGGAACAGATCCTGGAGATCGACTGTACCATGCTCACTCCGGAGCCAGTTTTAAAGTAAGATGCCTGTTTGGGGGCTGAACCTGTGCAACAGGCCTGCGTAAATGACCTTTCATGTCTATTGTCGCAAATCTAGAAGATACCCAGAAAACATCTGTCTCTGCCTTCAGAGAGTCACGGTGAAGCATTGTCATGCTTATCCTCGCAGTAAATCCCTAAATAAGGGAACTTCAGGAAGTTTATGGAAATTAAGTTTTTCCCACCATTTGAATTCTCACATTCTGTCAAACTTGCTCATGATGCTCTTGTGCCCTTATGAGACTACAGAATAGTGTAAGCACCGCTTCTGCACATGCTGGGACTGTCTGGAATGGGGTGGCATATCCATGTGTCACGGTAATGGTAGGCTGTCTTGGCATTTGTTACCTTAGGACCTCTGGCCACGTGGACAAATTTGCTGACTTCATGGTGAAAGACGTGAAAAATGGGGAGTGCTTTCGTGCCGACCATCTGCTGCAAGGTATGGTGTTTCTGCTCAGCAGCGCTCATCAGTACGTCGCGTGAGGTTAAACCATTCAGCTGCAGAATACATGAAAAGTCTGTTCCACAGATCTTCACTGTCAGATCAAGTCCCATTTATTTAAAGAAAATATATTATTTACAGATTATTAGAAATTCCCCACGCCAGCAAGAGAGTCAAGATGATATCAAGACGTGTTCCGCACAACCAACTAACCAGGGGATTTAATATAAATGAACTAACTGTCTTGGCAGTAAACCTCAAAAGTAGGTTGCTGTTTTCGGTTGGTTGAGCTTGACGCGCACCGACACTGTTCTTGCAGCTCATCTGCAGAAGCTGATGTCTGATAAGAAGTGCTCTGCTGAGAAGAAATCAGAGATGGAAAGTGTTTTGGCCCAGGTGAGTACGGCACAGCCGCTATCAGTCACGTGGCTGTGTGTGCTTTTCCCCCTGAGTTAAGTGCCTGGGAACTGTTGAATTTCAGACTGCACGACCTGCCCATGGATGTAAATAAGCAATGTCCACTTTCCATTTCTCGCTGTGTCTCTTTGCATCTTCATTAGCTTCGCTCAAACTCACAACTCCGTGTAAGCAGGCATTAAGTCCATTGTCTGCATGGAAGTGTCAGGTTTCTGCAGTTAAAGGCTGAAACCAGAAGAATGACAAATAGTGTTCAGGGAGATTTGGGGGCAGATAGCTCTGGGAACACTGTCATCCGCCATCTGATCTGTCTGGTTCCACAGTCCCTGACCACATGCTGTCATCCTGAGAGCCTGATAAGCAGTCTGTCCTGGAGTTTGTTTGCAGCCTGATCTTATTTAAGTCAACAAATTTTAGGGAAGACAAAAGAGACCGACTCACTGCCATTGTCTCAATTCTGATTCAAAGAGACCGTAGAGCTAACCTATTGTGGCATTTTCTGGACACCTAGTGCCATAGTTGATTGCACATAGGGCCGATAACTGCGAGGCCAGCAGTTCAAACCTACCACTTGATCCTTGGGAGAAATCTGAGGCTGTCTGTTCCAACAGAGGTTGACAGTCCCAGAAAGCCTCAGGAGCAGTTTCATTGTGCTCTGTCAAGTCGCTGTGAGTTGGAAGTGGCGTGGTAAAGATGGCTATTCTGCCAAGTCCAAGAGTGTTCTCCGCCCCCTTTTGGTGGGGGCTTGGGCATCTGACAAAAACACACACAGTGAAGCGCACCCCCCCACGTGGCTGGGTTGCTGGTTTCTCGCCTTAACGAACAGCGCTTTTGTTAACCGTGCTGGATCACGAGACCTAGTGAGGGTCGCCTCCTAAGTTTTATTTGCTTCCTTGGATAGAAGTTCCCAGTGCTGTGTCCATAGCCTATTTTTTTACGGTGCCATATCAACATCCACTCCCTAACTCTGCTTTCTTCCCTCATACTTTCCCACTACCGGTGTACTTTCTTTTTAGCATGCTCATTTTTCTCATTTCTCATTTAAGTTAGATGCCTTCTTAATCTGTCAAATCATCCCCCCACTTATCTTGGCTTCACTCTCATAGAAGCCCTGGTGGCACAGCAGCTTCGCTCCAGCTGCTCCCCATCACGTTATCGGTTCAGTCCCCTAGCCACTCCATGGGTGAAAGATGAGGCTGTCTGCTTCTAAAAGATTTAACGTCCTAGAAACGCATCGGCGCAGTTCTGCCCTGCCCTTTAGGGTTGCTGTGAGGCCGAATGGACTCCGTGGCAGTGGATTGTGGTTTTTATTCCACACGGGACACACGAACAGCCTCAGGGTAGGGAGGAACATTGAAAGCAGTTGATACATTGCTGCTCTACCCTTGCGGCGGTGTTTGCTCTCTCCCTGGGACATGTCAGTCACATGTAGACCAGCGACTATTTTAAAAGTCACTTGACAGCAGTTTTTCTGCTGTCCTAGGTTAGCCTCAATTAGTTGTTCATTTATTTTGTTTTTCACTTTTAGAGTTTCGGGAGTTGAAATGTAAGCTTGTTTTATAATTATATTTAAAAAACGATCATAGGTCTGAAATCAAACCTACAAACCGAGATGTACTCAAATAAGTGTAGCTTCTGTCCCTGTACTCTGTCACTCTGTTCTCTCCTGTCCACCTTGGTAACCACTGTTTAACTGTAAAAATGTGTGTGTGTATTTAAAATGGAATATGAACCAAGGCACAGAGCTGTTCGTGTGCCTTGTGGCATGCTATACACACTTCCCTCCCCAGAGCAAAGTGCACCAGAGACAGCCCCATAGTAACCCCGAGAGGCGCTCTGATCCGTGGACAGCGGCCTGCTTCTCCCTGGTAGCACAGCCAGTACGTGTCACAGTCCCCTGTGTGGCTCCTTCTCCGTCCTTGCTACCATGAGGAGCCTGGGCTCACATCTTTGTGGCTTTGCTCTTGTGCCTTCAGGCTGACCCCCAGCTGAGTGCGTGCGGGGTCAGAGGGCAGGTGCACTTGTGATTTTGTTGGCTGTGATCCCTTCCGCAGCGCTCGCTCCTCTGCATGCTTTCCTTCGTTTCCTCCCGACTCCCTTTCCATCGGGACCAGCGCCGTCACTGCCTGAATTACCTCGGGAACAAGGCTTGCTCCTCATATTTCTCATGGAGGTCCCTGCACATTGACCCACCCCCGCCCCGTGATGGGATGAAGTATGGCGCATGTTTAAAGGCCCCCTAGAAACTATCGCAATTGCTGTAGCAGAATAGCTAGGAAGCCGTGCATGTGTGCGTTGCTGAATGTTGCTGGAGCCCCGAAGGCTTATTTAAAATTTTAAAGAAATAATTGGAACATTTAGTTAGCAGGTGTGGGCTCTCCTTTTCGTAGTGTGACATGCCTTTTAGAGTTATCAGTGGAGCAAATACAAATTGTAATTGTCACCCTCTATCCAGTAGTAGTAGGCTCTTTGCTAAGTGCTTTATGTATGTTACTGCATTTGATTTTTAGAGTAGCCCTGTGAAGTATTTGGCTCTCTCCATATTACACATCAGCAAACTGAGGCTCAAGAGTGTTGTGGCCTCTTAATCATTAAATATATAAAGAGAGAGTTGTAAATTAGGTAGAGAGTTACCTTTCAGATCATCAACTTTGTATTCAACAGTTTAAGCCACTAATCAAACTCTTCAGTAGTTTACCCTTCACCTGCTCCTTGATTCCACTTCTTTCTTGTGGACTATCATCTATTTCATCTACATTAACATCTGTCAACCCCCACCCCCAACGCCCCGGCCCCATCTCCAAATCTGAGCCCTTTGGTGTCAGAGTCTTTATCTTCGTTCATCACCCGTAGAACAGTGGTCTCATAAAATATTTGCCATTTGCAGTCGGCTGATTTCCCTCCGAGTCCTGCTCTCTAGGTCTACCCAGGCCCGAGGGGCTTCTTGGTGTCCTCATTGTTTTCCAGCCAGGTAGCAACTTAATTTGAGTAACACACACCAAAAGTGATAGAGTTGAGACATACTCTCAAGTCTTTCTGCCTTCAGCTCCTTAATTCTTAGTCCCTGGTCATTCATTGGTTAATAGAATTGTTTTGTTTCTGTTGGGTTTTTTCTTTTAATCCCCAGTGTTCAACATTCTTTACTATTGGGTGGCTTGTCATTATCATTTGAAATTCATGAATTGAAGATCATATATCATTTTAGAGGGTTTGGCATTGATCATCAATGTATAGAATGTGTAGTGCGTGGGAGAACACAGGGATGAATATAAAATGCAGCATCTACCTTTAGGGAACTTACCGCCTCGTGGGAAAGGAAAGTTATGTGCACAATTAATTACTAGAAATGCGCCTGCTTCTTCCATTTGCAGAGGGAGTTAAACTCAGCTTCGAACAGTTACTTGCATGATTTGAGATCCTTGTCAACTGATAACTAGAAATAGGCAAGAAGCCTTGTGTCTTAGCTTTCAGGGTGGGGTGGGGTGGGTCAGCCCCAGAATAGCACTAGCTCTCACTGGGTGATGCTTTTGATGGGAGACCCTGAAGGTTCGGCGCGTGCTGGGGTTCATTTTAGCAGTGGGTGCTGGGGTTGTTGATAATACTTTTGTCTGGGCTTCTCCTCGGTCTCCCACACTAATTGTTTTCTGGACATGTCCTTTAGCTGGATAACTACGGACAGCAAGAGCTGGGGGATCTTTTTGTCAACTACAACGTAAAGTCCCCCATTACCGGAAATGACCTCTCTGCTCCAGTACCTTTTAACTTAATGTTCAAGACCTTCATTGGGCCCGGAGGGAACATGCCAGGGTAGGTGTCCCTTACTGTTAATCTATTTATGGGAGGAGTTGTTGAAATGGCTTATGTAAAAGATAAATGGCAGTGCTGTGAAGGGAAAAAAGTTGAAGCACAATGTAGAGAAAGTCCAGATAACTGTGTGAAGCAGTAAAAACAAGCATGTTCACAGATCTTATTTCTTCTCATTCCCTTTGTTTTAGAAAGTGCATGTTTTGTTTTTGCCATAGTAAAGTAAATGACTAAAGCTACAAGTACCTAGGGCATTTGAAGCATGCTGTTGTAGGTCACTGAGCTGAGCTTCTTGCTGAAGGAGGTTTTAGGAACCATTTGGCCTACCACAGAGCTTGCTCTTGGCATTAAACCCAGTGCTTAACCCACTATGCCATACGGGCTCTTTATTTCATACAAATGTGTATTTTATACACGCTAATTACAAAGAGGCCTGGTGGCACTGTAAGGTGAACGTCAGGTGCAAGGGCCACTGTGCAAAACCTACCAGCTACTCCAGGAGAGAAAGTTGGGTCTGTCTGTTCCTGTAAAGATTGACAGTCTCTGAAACCACAGGGGCAGGTCTACTCTGTCCTGTGTGCTTTCTGTGACTGAGAATCAACCTGACCACATTGAGTATTGTTATGAAGATGTTTGCTGCTGAGCAAAGTGTCTGCTGCTAAAAGTTTGTTTCAGGCCCTGTACAGCTTGGTTGTGAAAGGGATACATTTAAAACATTCAGCACTTTGAAAGGCTATATTTTTCTTGGTAACAGTCTGGCTTATTGAATTTACAGGTATTTGAGACCAGAAACTGCACAGGGGATTTTCCTGAATTTCAAGCGCCTTTTGGAATTCAACCAGGGAAAGTTACCTTTTGCTGCTGCCCAGATTGGAAATTCCTTTAGAAACGAAATCTCACCTCGATCCGGGCTGATCAGAGTCAGGTACTGCCTGTGCTACTTTCCTACCGGCGGACTCACTCACTGACGGAGCGGGGAAGCAGAAACTTGCTCGTTGGACACGGTTCTCCTCCATCTTAATAGAACTGTGGATTTAGCTTCCTCTTCTCCACAAACACCCTGCTCTTCTTTACTAATGGCATCTGTGGATGGCAGTCAGCTTTGAGCCATGGAAATGCATTTGAAGGTTCAGGAAGGAAGTTAAGAATAACTTAATATTATCACCTGCCCCAATGGTCCCTTTCCTGATATTTTGAGAGCCTTTGCCGTTGATTGTCTAAAGCAAGGCAGTTTCTGGCCGTAGGGAGGTGTATGTCAGTGCCGTGGGGGCGAGAGGGAGGGGGCGGGATGATGGCTCATTCTGTGTGTCTGGGGGGCCATCACTGTGGCTGGAGACAGACAGGAAGTGTTTCAGTAACTGTACTGCGCCAGCCCTGGGGGTAGAGGGTGCTCCAGGTATTTGGGATGGCTCAGTGATTAGGTGCTCAGCTACTACACAAAAGCTCAGTGGCTCAAACTCACCAGTTACTCCATGGGAGAAAGATGTGGCAGTCTGCTCTGTGAAGATTATAGCCCAGGATACCCTACGGGCAGTTCTGCTTTGTCCTGTAGGAGCTATGAGTTGGAATCAGTCCAACAGCAATGGGTCATATGACAAAAAGACATGCGCGCTGTAGTCTACCCTAACTCAGCTGTTGTGGCAGTCTGCTCTGTGAAGATTATAGCCCAGGATACCCTACGGGCAGTTCTGCTTTGTCCTGTAGGAGCTATGAGTTGGAATCAGTCCAACAGCAATGGGTCATATGACAAAAAGACATGCGCGCTGTAGTCTACCCTAACTCAGCTGTTTACCTGCCTGCGGCAGGGTGTATGTGTGTGTCTGTGTCTTCCCTGTGTTCTACTAGTGTCTAACGAGCTAAATTTCAAAGTACCGAGGAAGTTGTATAAGGCTGGCATAGTTGAAAGCAGGTGTTTTGGAAGTGGGTTTACACTGAGAGTAGCTGCTGGTAGATTTTAAAGGACACAAGTCAGGTAAACCGGGGCCCTGTGGAGCAAAAATGGTAAGGGACAGGTTAAGTGGTATGTGAGAAGCCAGCGCGGAGCTGCGGAATGAAGCCTGCAGGGCAGCTGGCTGTTTCTGATGTGCCATTTCTGGGTCATTTTCTCCTCAAAATGTTTGTGCCTTGGTTTGCCTGGTTTTGTTAAGGGCCTGTGTAGGAGACTGGTTTTGTTAGGTGCAAAAGTAGGTTCTTGACCAGAGAAGTCTTTGCATTCCATGAGTAAGCACCCCATGGTCTTTGTGCCCTGGCAGGACTGTGATTGCAGGTAAAGATAGATTTGGGGAACAGCTTCTGTGGGGTTTCTGGGCAGGGCCTTGACTTTGATCTGCCCTGTGTTTTAGATACAGGCAACCCCCAGATTATGAATGAGTTCATTCCTAATGCTGTCTTAAACCTAATTTGTATGTAAATCAAGACAATTGGGGATGTTTCATATCCAATGTTAGTTAGATAAACATCTGACTAACTAATTTGTCCAAATGCAAGTATGTATTCACGCCTCCAGGATCCGTTGTGTGAAATAGGATGTTACGTGATTTGTATATGAACATATTAGTTATATACAGGCAGCCCTTGTGAAGCCTGTTATCACCTATGGGAACTACTGGACGGAGCTCGGAGAGTTGTATGCACTGGGTTCAGGAAGCCGGCCTTGCTGGAGCAGCAGCGAGCAGGGCAGAGGCTACATTGAAGCTGAATTGGGACATTGTGTGTGTCGAGGCATGGGCCTGTGGGTGAGTCGATGCACAGAGAGGTGGCTGTGGGGACTGGGTTTGCAAATGCTGGGCGCAGGGCTGGTGGTGCTGCCCTGTTAGTGTGGGTACTTCCTGGTCTGTGCAACCACCTCCCAGAGCCAGAACCCGCCATTGCCCTGGGCTCAGCTGGCCACCCTCAGCATCAGGTGCTGCCATTGACCAAAGCTGCGTGGCTGGTAGGGGACAGATGAGGCCAGGAGGAGGCTCTGAGGGGTTGGGAATCCCTTATGAAAGAATGGGCTGTGTGTGGTCTGATAGATGTTACGGACCACACACTTGTTGATAGTGTGTGGTGTAGCTTTCTAGCATAAAACTATGAAACACTTCCAGGACACTAAGAGATCATTAACATAATAACAGTAAAAATAAGGATTTTTTGATGCATGTTGAAAAGTAGTGCACTTGTGCTGTTACGAACCCTGCTGTGTGCACCTGGAAGTTTTCATATTGTACTAGGCTTTGCAGGGTGGGTTTACAGCCAGGGGCTGTATGCATATAAGTTGGACTTTCAGGTGCTTTCAACCCAGTTGCGAGCTGTGAGAAAGAGACAGCATGTTGTCTCTGTCACCATTTCTGTGCACACAGAAGGTACATGATTGCTGAATGATAATGAAGACAGGAACATCGGGACCAAATTCGAGTTCCATTAAAAAATGAAGTTTATTAATCAAAACTCTTTTGCCACACAGCTCATGCAGCTTCAGAACCCATTTGAGCAATTTTATCTTTTACAGAACATCTGAGCTAATCTTCAAAATGCACTGTAAATGTAAGATTTTTTTAAATGAAAATGAGATTTGATTTTGACCTATAACATTAATTTAAAGCACTTTCCCCACCAATGGGTGCTAAATTGCCACTCAGAGAAATCTCTTTGGAAGCCATTCCTATGTGCGTACTTATTTCATCCCCCTGCAGTTAGCCTGATGGTACCTTGTTCAGTTCATGCCTCGTATCCTCTGTCTCGAATAAGAGTTTATTTAAAAAGCTTTCCCTCTGGAGAAGCCAGCTGTATAGTGTCATTATCAGCCTTTCACTTGCTCAGAGCGATAAAAATCAAGGTGTCATAAAAGCTAACGAACATTTTTCATTCACTTTTAATTTCCTATTCTGTGAAAAATAAATATCAGGCACTTCATCTCGTGTGTTTATAAAGATGTGCTAATGCTTTAAGGAAAATCATTTTATTCAATACCGTGTGTGTGTGTGGTATTTGTTCACGTTTTCTTTAAAAACTGTCCTAATCTAGTTTTGAAAAATTATTTTCCATCAACTAATAATCTTTGATGGGTGTGGCGAGAGCTAAGGAATTCATGTGTGAGAGAAGCTTGTGTTTATTTTAAACAGTGAGTGATAAAGTTTTCATGAAAATGTTTCAAAAGAACAGCCACCCAGACAAACCGAACCCAAGTATTTCTGACCATTTCCTCAAAAATCCAGTATTCTGTCTACTGGTAAGAGATTCCTGTAGTGTGGGGTCTTTTATCAACGCAGTTTGTTATGCAGTTGAACGCAGGGTTTTATGACTTTATTTTTACCATTAAGAATGCAAATTCTATGGACTGTGATAAGAGTTATATGAGCCACCAATAAAATGATTTTAAAAAATGCACATTGTACCCCGTGTTTTCTTTTTCAGAGAGTTCACCATGGCAGAGATTGAACACTTTGTAGACCCCAGTGAAAAGGACCACCCCAAGTTCCAGAGTGTGGCTGACCTCCACCTCAATTTGTATTCAGCAAAAGCCCAGATCAGCGGCCAGTCTGCTCAGAAAATGCGCCTGGGAGATGCTGTTGAACAGGTGAGTGTGTTTAAGTGACCTTGCACTTAGGAATTCCGCATGCTGGGTTTAATAAGACCTGTTATTTTTGCAGTCTTTTTGTTTTAGATGCATTTTGATGGTCTTCTAAATATATTTATGGTAGTGAGGGGCAGTCAAGGCTAGCAGTTCAGACACCTGCGGAGGTGCATGGAAGACAGGCCTGAGGGTCTGCAGCCGAAAGGCCACCACAGCCTTGGAAGCGGAATGGAGCAGCGGCAGAGTCCACCTGGAGGACTCCCTGACCATCCCAGTGTGGGGCCGCTGGGGCCGACGTGGGAAAAGGCTTGGCAGAACATCAGGGAAAAACAATCCTGGCTGGAACCAGGCCGTGCTCATCCAGATTTTACCAACACGTAGTATTTGCGTGGAGGCATAATGTGACTCTCAGGATGCAGGCTCTCCTCTGTTTTCCCCGTAGCGATGAGGATAAATCCTGGTGTATAAGTAGAATTTCTCTCCAGCAATAGCTGTTGCTACCCAATAATGCAGTGGTTCTCAACCTGTGGGTTGCGACCCCTTGGGGGTCAAACGACCCTTTCACAGGGGTCCCCTAAGACCATCAGAAAACACAGATTTCTTGGGTCTTAGGAACCAAGACACTGATCTCAAGGGGGTCCGCCCACATGCAGATATGCCCACATACTGCTTCAAGTACCATGTACTTGAAGCAAGTACCATGCTTCAAGACAAAATTTCACTTGTCATTAGAAATAAATACTTCACAACATATAATGACATATTGTTATGTGATTCATCACTATGCATTCCTTATGTTCAGTTTGTAACCATGAAAATATATCCTTCATATCAGATATTTACATGACGATTCATAACAGTAGCAAAATGACTGTTATGAAGTAGCAATGAAGATAATGTTATGGTTGGGGGTCACCACCATGAGGAGCTGTATTAAAGGGTTGCGGCGTTAGGAAGGTGGAGAACCGCTGCACTGATGGAATAAGGAGCCTGGTGGTGGCAGAGGGTCATTCAGTGAGCTGCACACATGAGGTCGGCAGTTGGATCCTGCTGGTCGCTCAGCAGGAGAAAGAGAGGCTCTTTGCTCTTATAAAGATTTAAGGTTTCAGACCCCAAAGGGGTCGTTTCAACCCTACAGGTTGCTATGAGTTGGAATCTACTCAGTGGCAATAGTTTTTGCTTTTTTTAAATGGGGGAATGGGTTGCCCTGGGAATCAATGGGCTTTCCTGCCCCAGACAGTGTTCAAGGCGAGCCTGGGTGGTAACTTGTGGGCCACATTACCGAGAAGACCTGCAATGGGCTAGAGGTGGAGCTCCATGCTTTCTAAGGCTTTCCTAGTGCTACCTGTACTGTTGAGGCTCACTAGATTCGGTTCATTAAATTCAGAAGAGAATCTCTTTGTTATTAAGAAGCATATCATTTCTAGTCCTGTAGATTTTATTGTGAAGTGTCTGGAGGAAGAGCCACTGGCTGTGTGACATACAGGCTTACCTCGTCCCAGGATGCTTTACCTCTGACACTGTGCAGATACGGTGTTTGCCTTGTTTCCTTTTCACAGTGAAGACTTGTGTCCACCTTGCATCCAACAAGTCTGTTGGCAATGTTTTCCTAATAACTTGTGCTCACTTTCTGTCCCTATAAGGGACATCTTGGGAATTCTGAATGACATTTCCAAGTTGTTCAGACAATGGCTGCATACTTAATAGAGTATAGCCTACTATAAACATAACTTTCAGAGACACTGGAGCCCCAAATGCATGCGACTTGCTTTATGGCGGTATTTGCTTTACTGTGGTGGTCTGGAACCAAACTTGTAACAGTTCATGGTCTGCCTGCCCAGGGGGCGATTTTTAATAACAGCAGCTTGTTCACTGGACACATACCCCTTCAAAAATGGCCATGTTCGCATATTGGGCATTTGAAATTGTTTTGAAAGCTGGGTAAGTGGGTGCACTTTGTGTTTTAGTTATTTTTCAGTGGATTGTGAGTTACTGTGGGAGATGGTACTTTGGTGTTGAAGAATCTTAATGTGTATATTTTCCCTCCTCCTCTGATGCTCGCTTGTTCACGCAGGGTGTGATTAACAACTCCGTATTAGGCTATTTCATTGGCCGCATCTACCTCTACCTCACGAAGGTCGGAGTGTCTCCAGAGAAACTCCGCTTCCGCCAGCACATGGAGAACGAGATGGCCCATTATGCCTGTGACTGCTGGGATGCTGAATCTAAGACATCCTACGTGAGTAGAGCCAAGACTGGTTTCACAGTGTGGTCTTCACACCCTGCCCTGGAAGCTCTACACCACCATCACCTCTTGTGCACGTGGCCCAGAGTGGGACAAAGAGAGGAGAGAGAGAGAGAGCGCGCGCGAGCGCTTTTATCTTTAGGGAAATGGACAGAGCCCCAGCTTCCTGCCTTCTTATACAAAGGGGGTTATTCTTTGTGTCCCGGGGCCTTTGGTAGACTTCTGTGGCTGTTCAGAGAGAGAAGGCAGATCACGAAGCAGTACTGGTCGTAGGCCCCTGGTGGGGGCAGTGTAATTGCTACTGCCGCTGGGTGGAGCTGGCTGGGGTGGCCGCCTTCCTGACCAGGACCCAGGTGATCATTGGGAATGGTGAGGTGGTTGAGTAAAGGAAGTCAGAGTACACCAGTGAGCTCTTTGGTAGGTTTGGGGGAATAAGCTAATAGAATCTGATATCATAATCAGAAACAAACAAACCCACTAACTCCTTTGCCATCAAGTCAGCTACAGCTCACAGCAACCCTCTAGGACAGAGTAGAGCTGCCCCCATTGGATTTCCAAGCTGTAAACCTCTATGGAAGCAGACTGCTGCATCCTTCATTCATTGAGCAGCTGGTGGGTTCGAACTGCCAACCTTTCCGTTACCAGTGGAATGCCACCAGGGCCGTTGATATCTTGATTAGTGACTACTCTTCTCAGATGTTAATATATTTAATAAATGTGTAGGGAACCTTCCTACCCCCAAACATGAACATCAGTGCTGAAGTGTAGGCATGTTGTGATTGTTGGATGTTCTGAAATTTTGCATCAAGGGCCAACAATAAATGTGCAAAAGTCAACTAAATAATACTAAAGTTAACCCTTTACAAAACGTATTTGTTTCTATCCAAAGAACACATTTTTAAGGTTTTAATTTTTAATTTTTTGGCTAACAAGTATCTTTGCCTTTGAAGGTATCTTAGATTCCACGTGGAATGTAAGCCAGCATCAGTATGACAGTAACCCTGTTATTTCATTTTATTTCACGACCTACATGCTACCTACCACGTCTCCGCGTTGGGGCATGAAGCTCATTGAGCACAAATGCCTGTCTGCGTGCGTGAAGAGCCAAGATCTGGGTGTAACACTGCCATATGAAGGCCGTGCTTCATCCGGAGGGCTGCTTTCTGCCAAAATCATTTTGAATCCTGGTTACAGATGTGTACCGAATTGACAGGCTTTGTTTAGGCTCATATTTTACTTCTTTAGCATGTATGGGATGGCCCACCATTCCCACTGTGACGAAATGGCTCTAAGGCTACTTTGTACGCATGTGGAAGTTTTTCATTATCCTCTTAGCTACCTGATGCACAAAACGGTGCCTGTTTTAAACATTTGTAACGAGATTCTGTAATTGAATTGCCGTGAACACAGAGGCCTGGTTACAGCCTGAGTGCATTTGCTAATGGACCTGCGTGAGTCATGGACATTTGTCTCGATTGTGTCTTTTTAGGGCTGGATTGAGATCGTGGGATGTGCCGATCGCTCCTGCTACGATCTTAGCTGCCATGCCAGAGCCACCAAAGTTCCACTTGTAGCAGAGAAACCGCTAAAAGAACCCATATCCTTTCTGACAATTCCCAAAGCCCAGATCGGGTCACTCAGAATTGAAATATAAACACGGTGATGGATAAGCCCCGTCTCTCTTTGTTCTACGGATACCCAGGTGTGTGGCATACAAGGGAGCTTCAAACAACTCATGAAAAATGGACTTTTACAAAGATCCTGAGACTTTCCCACAGACCGTGGAAGCCCCTGTGTGCAGTGACTTTTCAGAGCTCCTTGCTCCTCTCCTGTTAGAGTCACCTGCGGTGTTACATGCACCACGCCAGTATTTGGCTGTTAAACTTAGAAGCACATTCAAAAAGATGTCCTTAAGGTCTTCCAGGGCGTTGTCCAATTCCCCCCGCTGTTTCTAAAGTGCAGTTCTCTATACTTCACCCCCTGCGGACTCTTTCAATAAAAACTATGTGACGATGCACTTAGGTCTCTGTTCAACACTGAGTGTCATTTTGTGGCACACGAAGTAACAGTTGAGCTCGCTGGGTCTGTAAGTCAGCAGAACAGGCTGTGAGCTGGCTTCTTGGAGCAAAGCCAGAGACCGAAAGTAGATTGTTATGCTGCGACATTGTAGGGGTGGATACATTGTTATTTGAGGTGATTGTGTGGTTGATGTGGTTCTGTAGCTAATTAGATTATCTATCTCTTTACTTGTCTGTTTCCTCTTGTACCTGAAGTCAGCATGCACTGGATCTGGATGCTGATAAAGAACTGATAGCTGTTGTAAGTGGGTGATGGGTCGTTTTCCCAAATACTCAGGCAGTGCTGTTTCGTGACGTTTCAATCCTTGACTGCTTCATACAAAACAGTCAATGTTGTTCAGTTTGAGCCCAACAAGGGAGCCATCGGGAAGGCCTACAAGAAGGAGGCCAAGCTGGTGATGGAGTACCTTGCCGTCTGTGACGAGTGCTGCATCACAGAGATGGAGAAGCTCCTGAGGGAGAAGGGGTAAGAGGGGCTCAGCTGGGATCTGGGTAGCTGGCTCTATGGCCTGGAGAAGGTTTGGAAGGGACACTAAAGATCTCTCCCCCTGAAAACAGAGGTAAAAAGAGGCTGGAGAACAAGGAGGGACTGTGTGTGCTGTCTCTCGAAGCATTGCTCTCTTTGTAGTCTCTGCATTCGCCTGAAGTATAAATGTAAAAGCAGTACAGGAGTCTTTAAAGAGCTACAGTAAATCCAGTACTAAACAGTATCGAAATTCACACTGCCTGGCAACCAGTAAAAATCACTAGACATACAAAAAAGCAAGAAACTGGCCCATGAGAAAAACCAGTCAACAGAAGAAGACCCCGAAATGGCGAACAGAACCAACAGAAGCGCGTTACAGCAGCTCTCATAAAAGTGAGCTCCGGGTGTGTGACGACGCCCAGAACAGCACGGACAGCGGGGGTAGGACGTGCAGAATAAAAGGGGATCTTTGCAGAGGTACTGTTTGCAGTGGAGAGCCCATTGCATGGGACGAGCAGATGGAACACTTCACCGAACTCCCAGAGCGATCCACAGTGGGACGGGTGTGAAAGGAAAGAAGGGAAGACCTGCCCCTCATGCGGACAGCACAGGCGGCTGAGCCCGCGGTCACTGCCAGTCCTGGACAGCACAGGCGGCTGAGCCCGCGGGTCACTGCCAGTCCTGGAGGTGGCGAGTGGAAGAGAGAAAGGCAGGTACAGTGGCTATGAGTTTTCTACAGAGGAAGCATAAACACGAGTCCATGGAAGTGCATCAGAATGTTAACAGCAAAGCATGTTTTCAAGTAGCCACGGAGTACAAGCCTCCTTACGTGCACAAAAAGGAACAGAGAGCATAACGGAGAGGGTTGTGCAGGCCATAGTACAGTGGAATAAGCTGCTTTAGTACTGAAAGACTTTTAGACGTCACCCTCACTCTCACTCACCGCCATCGAGTTGATTCTAACTCCAGTGACCCTGTAGGACAGAGTAGAATTTCTAGTGCCTCTGTGGTTCCGAGGCTGTCAGTCCGTACAGGGACAAACTGCCCTGCCTTTCTCCCGTACAGCAGCTGGACCTTGGAAGCACCACTGTATAGTTGCCAGCCCCCACATAACCAGCTGTGCCAGCCAGGCTCCTTCACAGGTCGCCCTAGAGCCCTAGAACCAGTAAAAATATCTCAGCAATAAAAGTGACTACCGAATGGGTGGGACCTGAAGACATTATACTGAGCAAAATAAGTCACTCACAAAGGTCAAATATTGTATGACCTCACTTTATCTAACAAGGCAAGGGAGAAAGAAACAAATGGGAGTTACTTTCAGAGAGACAAAGCTCAGAGGAGGCTGTGCTGGCAAACCTGTACCATTAGAAATGTGCACAGCAGGAGCTCATAAATTTAGATTTACCCCAAAATAAAGAACTCTGGAAATGATACATGTGTAGGTGAATATGAAAGGTGTTTCCCCCTCGTTTAGTTATTTAAAAGGTAATGGATTATTTGTAGCAAAAGGAGATTCAATGTAACAAAAACAGCAATGTGGAATTTATACTGGGGAAGTAATGTATACCATCAGGGGCATAAGCAGTAGGGAGGAAATGGGAATGTGCTGTTGTATTAGGTACATGCATTCTACCTGAAGTGGTATATCGTTTGAAGGTCAACTAGGATAAACGAGAAAGCACAAAGGAGACCTTCGAGCCATCCCCGGGGGAAAGCTCAGTGGGGTATAAGCAGCAAGGTGATAGTGGAGATGAAATAGAACAATATGAAGTATGCAGTCCAGAGGAAGGCAGGTGCAGAGGAAAAATGGACAACTGACGGCACAGGCAGAAAAGGGCCAGGCGGTAGATTTAAAAGTAACAGTATTCAGAATTCAATGAAATGATGCTCTGAATACTCAACTTAATAGCATTGGTTATCTGCCTGGCTAAAAAATTCAAGACCCAATTAATTACTGTTAATAGGAAACCCACTGTAATTATAATGACCCCAATAGGTTTAAAAGTAAGATTTTAAAAAAAAATTATCATGCAAACACTAATCAGAATAATATCAGAGTAAAGTTTGGAACAAGGAAAATTGAGACCAAAACAAGTTTGTAATGATACAGAGGTGAGTTCATTAAGAAGGCATGCCATCCCCATGCAACTACAAACATCAAAATATATGGGCAACCAAGAGAATTGTAAGAAGTGCACAGGTCTACGGTTTTAGTTGGGAGATTTCTATGCCCTGCCCTCAATATTGGACAGAGTAACTGCACAAAATGAATAGGAATCCAGAAGACAAGAAGCAACATCTGACCACCCTAACCTAATTACATGTGGAGAACTCTCCAACTGCTCGCTTCGGCGGCACACATACTAAAATTGGAACAAAAAAAAAAAAATAACAAGGCCCCTGCGCAAGGATGACACGCACATTCGTGAAGCGTTCCATATTTAAAAAAAAAAAAAGAACTCTCCAACTAAGGTCTGGCCCTTTACAGAAAGTTTGCCGACCGGCTGTTCAAACCCATTGGCAATTCCCAGGGAGAGAGATGGGGCTTTGTGCTCCCATAAAGCTGGAGCTGCCCCTGGGGGTTGCTCTGAGTAGGAACTGACTCGATGGCGCAGGTTGGGCTGGGTACTCTATACACAGGGAGCCTTGGTGGTACAGTGAAATACTGGGTCACAGACTGCAAGGTACTACTTAAAAGCCACCAGCTGCTCCCTGGCAGAAAGACCTGGTGATGTGCTCTCAAAGGGACTTGATTTTTAACAGTCAACTCTCACTATCAAGTCACTATGAGCTGCAGTCAGTCTGATAGCAACAAGTTCATTGTCGACAGCATCGAGTCCTGTTCAGTTAGACACACTTGTTCGACATCCAACAGGCCAGCCAGGTTCCTCTTGGGAAGGATTCGGTCATAATGGTGGAGGTCTTGCCTGTTTCAGCGCTCTTCAAGCCGGGCCTGCTGTGTACTTGGGCTATTCATAGAGAACATGCATGTGATACTTGCTGTGTGTGTACGGGCACTTCAGACAGAACAGTGAAGACGGGAGAACTCGGTGGAAGCCCCCCGGAGGCTGAGACAACTGACTGCTAGAAGCTCGTGGCAGCAGTGCAGCTTCAGTGGCAGCCACTTGGGGGCTCCCTTCTCTCAGTGCTGAGCTGCTGCCTGTGCGGTGGCTTCAACAGTGAGCCCCGGTTGGCTGAAGCTGAATGTGACTTGTCGGGAACCATATTGACATAGCAAACAGAATCATCAAACTTCCTACGAAATTTATATACCACTGTCAAAGTTTATTTGGAATAAGGTGACAAAGTGGTTCTTTTTTACATTTGTTTAGACAGTTGTGAAAACAATATTTTTACCAGCAGGAATTAGGTACATTGGAGGGGTTCTTACCTTGATCTCAAATCGAGAGGAATTAATGTTCATCAGTTATTGGTAGAACCTTACCGAATATGGTGTGGTGCCATTGTTAGAATAACCATGATGGTAAACCAGTGAGAGCCAGAATTCCATGAGACTCTTGTTTTCGCCTTTGATCAAGTTTAGTCCTGCCACTTTTCTATTGCTCTCTGTAACAGAAAATATTTGACTGGTTGCACATTGGTTTGCTTAACTGCAAGGTCAGTGGTTCAGAACCAGCAGCCACTCTGAGGGAAAAAGACAGGGTTTTCTATTCCCATAAAGCACAGTCTCAGAAAACTCACAGGCCACTTACACCCTGTCCTACAGGGTCGCTGCGCTGGAATCAACTCAGCAGTAGTATGTTTGTTTGTTTTAATTTCATAAGTTTCCACCTTACACACATTCTACTGTTCTTCATCTGGTATTTCTTTTAAAATAAGTTTTATTTAGCTGTAGCTATTTTACCTGGTGAGTTCACCAAGTTAAATTATGCTTAAAGTGAAAAGTAAGTGAACCATGAAAGGCCTGTAAGTTAAGCTAAAGGAATGTATGTTTTGACTGATGTGTTTTGTTTCTTTTTAGGGAATTTAATGTAGAAACTGAAGGAAAAACATTTCAGTTAACAAACGACATGGTCAGTGTGAAGAGATTCCAGAAAACACTACATGGTAAAGTTCTAGCAAAGAAAATTTCAAAGAAAGAAAAAAATAGCATTCCTTTGGGGGAGGGGGGAAGACTAATGTTTTTTAACTATGATTTTGCAGGAAATCTAAAGAGAAAAGGGGGGGATATTTAATGTCATAATATCAATGGGAAGAATATTTTCAAGACATTTTCTTGGGGCTTTTAGACAAAAACATAAATTTCCTCATTATTGCCTTCTAGTTGAGTCCAGTGACCCCATAGGACAGTAGACCCGCCCCCTAGCATTCCTAGACGGCATTCTGTACAAGAGCAAGTGCCAGGCTCTGCTCCGTCAGCAGCCGAGTGCTTACCCCTTGTGCCAGCAGGGTGCCTTCGTCATACCCACACTAGAGAATGACTGCCCCCCCTGGTAACATTACTGCGCAGTCGTTGAACCGCGGAGGTCAGCTGTTCAAGCCCAGCAGTCACTCCGAGGGAGAAAGATGAGCTCTCTGCTCTCATCAAGATTCATGGCTGGGGGAAACCCCACGAGCGTTCTGTGCTGGGAGCTGGAATTGACTAAGTGGCAGTGGGTTCTCTGATTTTTGGTGAGAATTATTGATTACGCCAACTTTTATGATTTAAGTTTTTGTTTCCTTTTAAATCTTATGGAAAATTCCTTTATGTCCTAAATAATAGAACTCAGTGCCCTATTTTGATCAACTTTGGTTAGGTGATCAAGGGTTCTTTTTGAGAAGGAAGTCTGGATTAGGAAATGAGTGCTTTGGGATGTATGGACAGGAGGTGGTTAAGAAGTGTGGAATCAGGGAAGTGGCGGTGTAGAGAGGATGGGCCTGCCTTTGCTTCTGACATGCGATGCTGTGGCCAGGCTTCCTGAGCAGGGCAGTGATAGGAACCAGATGGGACCTTCCTTTTTAGCTATCCCAAGAGCTATGTATGTCAGAACCATACTGCACCATTACTCAACCTGTTACAGAATTATTGTCAAAACCCCCTTCCCTGATCATACTTCTAAAATTGTCTTCTTACTTATCGAGGGAAAAGAAGCAGTTTCTCTTCTTTCCCCACACCCCTGTTGGTGATTTTTGGCTCCAGCTGTCCCATTTCCCATCAAACATAAACTCCCTAAGGTCAAGGTTGCTTCTTAGACCTGGTTAGTGTAAACCAAACCAAGCACCATCACCAAGTCGATGCCGACTCGCAACTACTGCATAGCACAGGGTCGAGCTGCCCCTGAGGTGGTAAGAGTGGGGGTTAATACTGTTAACATACTGGCGGGGTATGCCACGGGTACATCTTGGGAGGAGCGCTGGAGCCACAGGAGGAACTTTCGTGCTGATTCCTAAGCAAATGCGTCTAAGGGCCTCCTGAGCCCAGTGCCTTAGGAACCCGTGGCATCACACGACTGTCTTGCAGGGTTCTCACCGAGATAGAGAGGAAAAAGATGAAGTGATGCTGGTTGTGGGTTAGAGTTCCTTTTGTTAATTCTTACTGTCTGTGGTGGTGGGTTTTCGCTGTAGCAGTCTTAGAGAGACTCTGGAGAAGGTCAGGCAAGTCTGCGGGTGAGAGGACCGCTGCTGCTCGCAGCTCACTCTCCTGCAGGAGCTCTGGGACCGCCGGTGGGTATTTCCGCTCCAGCTGAACAACCGCGCTAACTTGGCGAGCTTTCTCTTCGACGGTGACCTAGTTTTCAGTTCCAGCAAATCGTTTCAGGACGGTTCCGATTTCTTTGTCTCGATGTGCAGAGATCAAAGTCCTTCAAGAATGGAAAGCATGTTTCGCGCTACGACTCGTTTAGAGAGGGTCTGAGAAGTATCCTGTGGGCTCTGAGGTGGTTACCGCGTTTCTGTCTCCTTTGCAGTGGAAGAAGTTGTTCCGAATGTAATCGAGCCCTCCTTTGGCCTGGGCAGGATCATGTACACGGTATTCGAGCACACGTTCCACGTACGCGAGGGGGACGAGCAAAGGACGGTAAGCTCTCCTGGGCCAGGTGGTGTTTGTTCTGTTACGGTGTCTGTACAGGAGATTCGCTGGAGCGCATTGAGAGGACTGGAATGATCAGCTCGGCATTATTTCTTACAATCCACTGGCGAGAATAGCACTCCTCATCTTTGCTGAACTGTTGCACAAACAGAGCGCTTTCTGGCATCCGCTCATCTGAACTTTATGATGTGTATGTTTTTCTAGGAGCCATTTTTAATGTCGTTGCCTGGTCCTCTCTACTCTGAGATAAGACATATTTAGGGATCTCCCTACTTATCTGTCTAGGGAGCTATGATATGCTGTTGTCTTCAGAAAGTTGGCCTGGGAGTGGCATAGTAGGTGATGTATTAAGCTGCTGACCACAAGGTGAGTGGTTTGAACCCACCAGCCACTCCATGGGAGAAAGCTGAAGCTATGCAGAAACCCAACAGGGCTGGTCTACTCTGTCCTGTATGGTCCTGGAGTCAGAATCTGCTTGCAGGCAATGAATTTGGTTTTTAGCATTTTCAGAAAATTTGGAAAGACGAGATGTCTTGTGGAATTTGTCCCCAAAAGATCTTTTTCTGTGTGGTGGTAAAGAAGTCCAGGGAACCTTCTCATGCATACCATTACCTGAGGTACTTGTTAGCCAGTAACGAAGCCGTTGCTGTCACCTGGTCTCCAGTTCCTGGCAGCCCCACAAGTGTCTGAGCACAACTGAGGTCCACAAGGTTTCCTCGGTGCATGGTTGAGCAGTGGCCTTTCAAGGCACCTCTGAGTGGAGTCAAACATCCAACCTCTCTGTTTGCACCACCCAAGGACTCAGGGTGCTTGCTCAAGATGTTCTTAGATTCTATACCAGAAATAAGAGCCCTGGGGCATAGTGGTTTCAAGTTGGGCTGCTCACTGCGAGGTCAGCGCTTTAAAACCACCATATTCTCGGGAGAAAGATGGGGCTTTCTGCTCCTATCAGAACAAGTTACAGTTTCAGAATCCCACAGGGGCAGTTCTGCCCTGCCCTGTGGGGTCCCTGTGAGTCGGCATCGACTTGATGGCAGTGAGTTTGGTTTTGGTTTGGGTCCAGAAATATCGATGCATTACACCTAAGAATCTGGGTGACTGATGTGAGAGACTGACAAAAGATAAATTGAACTAGTGTGTGTGTGTGTGTGTATGGGGGGATAGCCTTTCCCAGTATCTAAAAGTATTGCTTAAGATCACATGCACACGTCCTTATCAACTCCACAGGGTTTCTTTTGGCCCTGTGCCTTCTGCTCTTAGCCCCTCGTTCTGCCTGGCTTCACGGCGGCTTGCAGCAAGTCGCTTGCTTAGCTCCTAGTCATGGAGTTCCGGGAAAACCCATCGGAAGACGTGTGGCTGGGGAGGGTTGGGGGGGTTGCCCGAGTCAGAGTCAGGAACGCATTGTGCTGGAGCAGGAGTCTGCTGCTGTCCAGTTGGGCAGCAGCTCTGTAGTTCTCTCTAGGACACACCCCCCCCCACCCCCCCCCACTGCAGGCCAGTCGGTTCCAGCTCAGCCGCCCAGGGGCAGGGGTGGTAGTGGCTGCCCTGCAGGGTTTCCGAGGCTATCCATCTTTATGGGCCACACTGCTGTGTCCTTCTCCACAGAGCAGCGGATGGGTGTGAACCATTGACTTTGTCGTCCTGTGCTTTAACCACTGTGCCACCAGGGCACCCTTCTTTTTAGGACAATATGACCTTAAAGCAGCGGTTCTCAACCTGTGGGTCTTGACCCCTGTGGGGGTCGAAAACCCTTTCACAGGGGCCGCCTAAGACCATTGGAAAACACGTATTTCCGATGGTCTTGGGAACCGAGACATGGCTCCTTTATTGTCTCCAGGCGGGTGCGCCCACGTGCAGATACGCCCACATCCGAGTACCCGCTATAAAGACTGTTACCCATGCTACACCATGCTTCAAGAGGAAATTTCATTTATTTGTCATTAGAAATAAGTCTTTCACAATCTCTAATGACATTGTTTTTGTGATTAATCATTATGCTTTAATCATGTTCAATTTGTAACAATGAAAATACATGCTGCATATCAGATATCTACATGACGATTCATCACAGTAGCAAAATGACAGTTCTGAAGTAGCAACGAAATTGATTTTATGGTTGGGGGTCACCACAGTATGAGGAACTGTATGAAAGGGTCGCGGCCTTAGGAAGGTTGAGAACCACTGCCTTTAAGAATGGCCTGGAGCTTCTTGGCGCCGCTCTTTCGAACAGTGCCACGCTGTTGGTGATGTGTAGCTCACAGAGGAAAGTGCTCTTTTGCTCTCAGCGCTTTAGGTATGCCTGCGTGCTCTGCCTGGGGGTGGGGGGGGGCAGTGGGGGGGGCAGCTCTTCATTCAGAGAGAGTCAGCAGCGAGGTTTGCTCCCCAGCATACAGGCAGGAGGTGGGGTTTCGTGAGATGGCTATGTGCAGCTGAAGTTACTCTTGTCAGAGGCCACGTGTACTTCAAGCTTTGCCTGCTAACTTGTCTAAGAAAAGTTTTGTTTTTAAAATCTTGCTGTACTTCTGAATCTAATAATATTGATAAAACTAGAGATGGGATAGGCACTTCACAAGGGCTAACCAAGAACAAATTTGTGGTGTTTGAGTTAGGTCGAGATTCCCTCACGGGAGGAAGCTTGATTCAGTTGTAGAGCGGCAGCATGTTTCTAAGTTATTAGCACACGGTCTCTTCAGTCCATTTCCTGTGCATTTGGCACACCAAGACTGCAGATGAAATGAATACATTTATCTCGTCTACGAAGGCAGACCATTGCTTCTCTTGAATTAAACAGAGTTATAAGGTGGTGGAGCGGCGTACACACATGAACTTGTGAGAGGAAGGTAGCCATAGTACAACAAAGCCTGGGTGGACTTCCTGTGTGGTGTTTGCTGTTGCCCAGCATTAAAGGCTAGCTAAGCTTTTGGAAAGATTATAGTCAGAGAGAAAATTAATTCTGAGTCACATACTCAATGCCTTTGTGGATTTTTTTTTATTTTATTTTTTTACAAATACTGTGTTTGTATTTCCAGAGCAGCTCCAGAAGGTTTATAGAACCCTTTTTCCCTCCACTCTGCTTTCTTTTGCACACACGTTTGTGAGCTGATTACATTTTCCATTTCACATGGTCTCTCTCTGCTGGTCGTAGATTCTTGAGCATCCTGAAAGATCAGGTGGGATGTGCCTTTGGGTTCCTAACACTTTGATTAGAGATTTGGTAGGGAGGGGCTTTGGGTGGCATCCCAACAGCAGTGGCTTTTGTGTCATGTCAGACACTTGGCGTTGCGTGCAGTAGCTTTCCCAGCAGAGCCGGCTGGTCCAGATTGGGGCGGAGATCCAGGGGTTGCTGACTCTGGTTGTGGGTCTGCTGCTGCGTCTCTTCGCTGTGCAGCCGCCAAGGGCTCGTTCCCTGGCATTCTGAGATGAAGTGTTTGGACATCCACGGAACATGAACCTCTTGGTTTGGGACATGATCAGAACGAGGGGCCGGGTAGAGATTTATAAACTAACAGACGTCTTTCTTTTTTTAAACATTCTCTAGTTCTTCAGCTTCCCTGCTATAGTAGCGCCGTTCAAATGCTCCGTCCTTCCGTTGAGCCAGAACCAGGAGTTCGTGCCCTTCGTCAAGGAATTATGTAAGCACATCCAATTGGTGGGCAGTCTGGATGTGAACACCCTCAAGTACACGCCTTGTTAGGCACCGCGCTGTTTATTGGCTCTACTTAGCCTCTGCTCCTCTTCCTCGGGCGGCAGAGAGGGCCATTGCCCAGGGTATAGCACCCTCGCCTCTGCCTGAGCCCAGTAGGGCCCACGTGCCCGATTCAAGGCATGTCCCTGTCTCACACTGTCCTGCCGCCCACCTCCACAGAGCCTCCCTCGTGGAGTTTGGCTCTGGACTCGGGGTACAATCCTTGATTCCACAGCAGGGTGGGGGTAGGGACGACTCTCGTGATCCTCTGGTCCAGCCTGCATTCTGGAGTTGGGAATTGGGAAGAGGCCATGCAGCTAGAGGCGGCCCGCCTGCTAAGGGTGGGCTCTGCAGCCCTGTCAGCTGGGGCCCTGAGGGGGGACGGCCTAATCAAGGGCATTCTTTCTTGGACTGGTAGCACAATGCTCTGGTCCTAGCCTCTCTCATAAGTTTCCTGAGCCTGCGAGATGGCATTGGGGCATTCTCCGCCTTTGCTGTTTAATGTGCTTAACTTCTGTTGCGCAGCGGAGGCACTGACCAGGAACGGGGTCTCTCACAAGGTGGATGATTCCTCGGGGTCCATCGGGAGACGCTACGCCAGGACTGATGAGATCGGTGTAGCTTTCGGCATCACCATCGACTTTGACACCGTGAACAGAACCCCTCACACCGCCACGCTGAGGGACCGAGACTCCATGCGGCAGATCCGGGCGGAGGTATGTGCCTTCTTGTTGGCACTGTCAGCGCTCAGAAATGTGCACTGGTTCCTACTGGTTTCCATTGGATTTTCCTGTACTTATGCCCACTTCCTGCCTTTTGCTTTTGTTTTTAATTTTAATAATAGCTTTGTATCAGACACAGTCTGATTCTCAAATCCCATTGGTTTAATTTTGGACTCTCCATTAGCTCTTCTCTAATCTTGTAGAGCCATTTGGGTAGCTGTGGGCGCCTCCTCGTGCAGTTTGCTTGCTTATTTGAGCAAGAGCTGTGCAGCCCCACGAGGTCGTTGCCATGGTGTTCTTGGCAGGCTTTGGGGCACGTAGGCATTTGCCTATTTATATTTCCATGGAAATGTATACAAGTGTACGTTCAGACTTGGCTATCTTAATCATGGGCAGGAAAGGATGGCCAGGCGGACGGACGGGAAGAAGGGCTTGTTGTGTTAGCCACTAATTGACAACTGCCTAATGTGTTAACTTGGAGCAAGTGCCTATTAAGTGCTCAGCTTGACACCAAGTGTTAATAAGGAAACCCGAAGTGAAAGATGGCTTCTTCCAAAGGGGTGTGTGTATGCTCTAAGTAAGAGGTCACGGATTTCTGGCTAGTCTTTTACAACATCAGATGGCTGCCCTGGATCTGCATGCCCATCTGGCTAAGTTCTCAAGACCAGCAGCAGCATCACCTGGGAACTCACCCCAGTGTTGAGTCAGAAATGGAGTCAGGTGGGGGGCGGGTACCAGTCTGATTCAACAAGGCCTCTAGGTGATTCGGGTGCACACTGCTCTGTAGGGATGGCTGAGGCACCGCCTCCTTCGCTCAGATTCTTTCTTTGGCCCCTGTCCCGAGAGTGAAGTTTGGCATGCAAGCAGCAACATCAAGTGGCAGGGTGATTTGGATCGACAGGAACGCTGGCTGTGTAGAGGAATGGAGCTGAAGAAGCACGGGAGCAAAGGCCTGGGGGAGGGGGCGGGGGGTGGGGGTGGGGTGGTGGTGAGTGTGAGTGAGGAAGGCAGGCTCCTTGGAAGTGGTGAGACACAGGATGGGACCGTGGGACACCTGTCTTTAGTCAAATAGTGTTGGCTAGGGCGGGTCTTTCTGGTCAGACTGAACAAGTTGGCTGATTCTTGGACTTCTCTTTGCTTTGACCCCAGATCTCTGAACTCCCCGAGGTCATCTGCAGCCTGGCCAATGGCAGCATCACATGGGCAGATGTGGAGGCTAGGTATCCTCTGTTTGAAGGGCAAGAGACTGGCAAAAAGGAGACCATGGAGGAGTGAGGACGCTGTTGGGGACTTCGGACCATTTGTGCTAGTAAAATAAAATAACTCCTACCATGCCTCCTGTTCAGAACCCAGCGTTGTGAGCGCACCAGGGGCTGTGTGTTACTCTCCGTGGCCGCTCCAGTCGGCCTTCCCATGTAAGACCCGCCATTAAAGCGGAAGGAACTCTGAACAGGGCGTGATCCATTTGCTTGTTTCTGCACTTGTGCGTGGACGCACCCATGACTTACATGGCCCATGTGTGTGCAACCCTCACAGCTGTGTGGAGGTATAACGTGCATGTCATAAAACTGAAGTGTGCAGCTCAGTGATGCTCAGTGCATGTACGGACTGGGCAATCTTGTCAACCTCATGTTGGAATATTTCCATCGCCCCAAAAAGAATTCCCCTTGATCATCCCATCTGCCTCTCTAGCTTCCTCTTTTCCAGGCAATTTACTTACATGGAATCCTACAATGTGTAAACACAGTGTTTGTTAGCACAATGTGAGGATATCATGTACTGCATTTTAATCAAAATTCTAGAAAACCCCGTCTCCCCAGCAAGACGTGTGAACATGACAGCACCTGGTGTGGTTTCTAAACCTGTGACCGACCCACAGGTGGAGCCTCTCCATCCTCACACCCTCTTCTAAGAACAGCTTTTCTCACTTTCTGAGAAAGTGAGTCACTGTGCTTGAGACAGCGGCTTCGCGGGGGTAGGGGGTGTTTGGTGGTTTCTGGGAAGGATTGGGGTGGTGGGGGGTGGCAGGAGCTGTGGGGGAGTGCTGGGGAAGCTGCTGGTGCAGTTTCAGGCTGCTCGCTGTAAGACCGTCTGCCCGGTGTCAACTCCCAGCAGCCTCCCAGGTGTGGTGCACTGACAAAGTAGCCCTCGGAGTGCGGTCTGCTGAACAGTGGACCACGCACCCTGGAACTCCCCACCTTGTGTGCCCCCAGCCGGCTCTTCAGGCGTTTCAGCCCTCAGCCCTCATGGGGTCAGGAGTTTCTGGCTCATTGTCTGAGGAACTGGACTGCACTGCGATTCCATTCAGGTCTGTGATACTGAGAGACGCGACCCTGTGTAAGGATGAAAGTTAGGACCTGCAACTCTTTTTTTTGGGGCCCCCATTCAGTTTATTGGGAGCTCTTACAGATGTAGCACTCCACAATTCAATCACCTGGAGCAGTATTGTACAATTCCTGCCAGTCAGTTTCAAAATATTTTCTTTCTTGAACTCCTTGATATCAGCTCTCTTCCCCCCCCCTCCCTCCTCCACCATACCCTCCTAGGAACATATATATATGTATTGTACCCCAGCCAGTATATCCATTTGCATACAATTCTGTTGTTCACTCCCTTTGAGTAGACTCCCAACTCTTAACCCACTGCTTCACCACGGTTCCTTAAATGCCTCTGTAGGTTAAGAAGCAAAAGAACGTAATCACTACAGCATCAGATATTATGAACTCCATAATAAGAAACTCACTGCCATCGAGGCACTGCTGGCTCTCAGTGATCCTGCAGGGTGGGGTAGAGCTGCCACTGAGACTGTAACTCTACCGGAGTGGATAGCTCCATCTTTCTCCTGAGGAGCTGCTGGTGTTTTTGAACTGCTGCCCTTGTGGTTAGCAGCCCAATGCATATTACACCACTGCAGACATTCCTTTCCTTCCCAAGGTGGTAGTGCATGGTTTCTCCCAAAGAGCACCCGCCTTCACTAAGACAATTCCCTGGTTGGGGGTGATGCGCCAACAGCAGACTTCTCGGTCTGTGTGGACCATATTTGCTTAACTGAGTACAACAAGGCAGCTTTCTGAACAAAGGCTGTACACCCTGAGTCTGGATGTACGCACCTCTCCTATTCCAGCCGAGAGGGCATGTAAAGAAGGCAGGGTCTTTCTGGTTTCATGCTGTTTGGGCCCCCTTTTTTCTCCTATTAAATAAACCTATTGAGCTAGCTAAACAAGTAAGAGCTGGAGAGCATATTGCCTCTCGGGGAAATGATTCCCACTCATCATTCTCCAAGGAGCCTAGACAGCACTGTGGGTTAGGCATTGGGCTGCTAACCCCAAGGTCGGCATTTCAAATCCACCAGCCACTGTGTGGGAGATAGAGGAGGCTGTTTGCTCCAGTCAAGATTCCCAGTCTCAGAAGCCCTGGGAGTTCCCCCTGGCCTACAGACTCACCATGAGTCAGAACTGACTGGACAGCAGTGGGTTTGGTTGGGGTTCGTCATTCTCCAAAAGTAGGGAGGGAGGGTCAGCTTCTAACTGGTTTCCCTGGGATGTACAGAGAACAACACAGCAGGCCGAGGCCTTAAACTGGGTGTCTGGGGCTGGAATTCTGGGCGCTCAAACATACAGGGCATGAGATACTGAGAACCATTGCGTCCAGAGTCTGTGCTGTCAAAGAGCTCAATTGCAAAATCCCAAATACAGAAAAAGAATGACCACGTCATCATGTAAATGTAGAAAGAGCCTGTATTTTATGTATCAGATGTCATGTCCGGTGTTCCTTCTGACAAGAGCTTGCACCATTATTGTGTTCAGTAAATCATCTGAAGTAGATTCATTCCCAACCATTACTTATTGTGCCCTTCTCTAGCTCACTGCCATGGAGTCCATGCCGACTCATAGCACCCTATATGGCAGGGCAGAACTGCCCCTATGGGCTCCTGAGGCTATTCATCTTCATGGGAGTGGAAACCGTCTTTCTCCTTAGGAGCAGCAAGGGATTTTGAACTGCTGACCTTGCAGTTAGCAGCCCAATGCATATTCACTACCCTGCCAGGGCCCCTTCGCTGTGCCTTCAACCAGAATAAGCCAGCGCTCATGGAAGCAGCAGTCAAGAGATCGAACAACACACTACGTTGGCTGAAGCTGCACAAGACCCCTTTGAAGTGTTGCAAAGCAAAGATGCTACTCTGAGGACAAAGAAGCGTCTGCCCCACGCCATGATAGCTTCAATTGCCTCGGGACTGTGAAAGCTGAGCATTATATAAGACAAAAGGAGAATCGATGCGTTTGAATTATATGCTGGCAAAGAATATTGAAAGTACCCTGGGGGAAAAAAAGGTGCCCCCGGACTGCCTAAAGAACCAACAAATCTGTCTCGGAGGAAGTATAGAATGCTCCTTAAAGACAAACATGGCTCAGAGTCTTGGCCTCACGTG